CAGCGGCGCCGGGGCCGCCAGGGCGGGAGCAGCCGGCCCGCGCGGTGCCCTGGGGCACCTGCCCCTTGCTCCCGCCCCGCTGCAGGTGTCGGTGCCGCCGCGGCCCGGCCTGGCCCTGGCGCGGGCCCGGAACGCGCGCGTGGCCTCGCGCTAGCCCTGAGCACAAACTTTCTGCCTATCTTCTTTTTTAAAAAATGAGGTCTCCCCAGTGTCTCTCCCCTTCTTGCTCGTGGTTTTTTTTTTTTTTCATTAAATGATTCTGAGCACAAAGAGGGAGCTGGAGCAGGAGGAACATTTCTCATTACGCAGGAAGAACTTTCTTCATCTAAAGGGGAAAAAATAAGGGGAAGAGAGAGGGGGAAAAAAATCAGCAGCAAAAACTTTTTCATTAGAAGGATTTAATTTCCTCTGGAACTCAAGTTCCAGTAATAATGTAGGGACAAAGAAATAAATAAAAATAAAAWGAGCTTAGCTCCCCTGGTAGCAGCACGTCTCCGTGCAGCGCGGATCCCGCAGCCAGGGGTGCAGGGTGCCTGAGTGAACTTAACTGGGGCTGCGGTAGCTGCAGCCCGGAGGGCAGAGAGCCCCTTGTCCCGGCTCCCGCAGGGAAGGCAGGGCCGGGCAGGCTTGCCGGCACTCGGGCCTCGGGCCCTCGCCCTGCCGGCTGCGCGGCCGGCGCGGGGCTCCGCCGCGGCGCTTTATTTTGGTGCCGGAGCAGACAGTTATCTAACACACCCACACGAGGAAGTGCTCGGGAGCAGCTATTTCATGCCTTGCCATGCCCTGTAGYGAGAGTAATTTTGGACTGAATGGCGTGTGGATGTGCCTCGAACTCCGGGGAGGCGAGACAAGCAGCGGCGCGGCCGGGCTCGGGGGCTTTGCTTTATGCTGCTATTTTTTTTATCCTTTTTTTTTTTTTCCCTAATGAAACCCCAGAATGGGATATAAGATGGTCACATCCAAAAGCCAAACAAATGCAAAGCCRAATTAATTTTAATAGCAGAGGGGTTTTATTTCTGTCTTAAAGGAAGAAAAAAAATATCGATCTTGTTTATTTTGATAAAGCCAGTTGTAGCAATTTCCTGCGTTGGCTGTATCATTATTATAAATATTACTCACAGTTTTCCCATTTTCCCATTTTCTTCATAGGCCCAGCTTACTCATAAGGGAAAGCAGCTGCAGAAAGAAAAAAAAAAGTGTATTATTATTTATACAAAAGTTTGATGTAAATAGGGACCAGTGTCCCCGACTAGAGAATTCTGTGGGATGGTTTACAAATCCCATACAAGAGAGATTACATTCTTAGATAAATTGTTATTAAAATCATTTCAAGAAAACCTTGTTCATTTTTCTAGGCCATGCGAGGGTTTAAAGCAGAATGATTTGAATGTGAGTTCTGCTTAGAAATGGATGGCATGATATATGTGATATATGATATTTGTGGCCTTGTAGATGTCCGTCAGATGAACTTCTGTCTCATTTTATAGAACTTTTTACCCTGCGAGCAGCTCCTACTGAAAACACAGATGTTAATGGGAAATTAAACCCTCAAATTTAACGTCAAGTTACTTTGGAATTTTTTATCCAAACTTTTTTTTTTTTTGGGGGGGGGGGTAAGGAAACAGTGCACTGGAAATTTTTCTTTTTAAATAATTGCTTGTGCTGTCTGCAGAGCTGCAGTTCAAACTCTGCTGCGGAGAGAAAACGATGGCAAATCAAAGTGAAAGTGACTTCATTGATTTAGGTTGTTTGGCCCAAGAAAATTTAGAAAGTAAACAAACAGCATCATCCGTGAAAAATAAATTGGATTTTGCAATATTCTATCAATTCCAGTAATCCAGGTTTCAGGTGGTAAAGAGTATTGTCCAACTGCTCATCAAATTTTGAGGTACTTTTGCAGGATCTGATCAGATTTAACTCCGGCAAGTTTTCACAGATTTATAACAATTTCAGTAAGGACTGACTAAAGGCAAAGCTTTCATCCAGGATGATTTTTCCTTTGAGAGTGTTGCCCRTACTGCTGCTTATTACTTGTTTTAGAAGTTAATGGGTAGTTCTAGCAGCATCAATCCCCTTCACTTTTGATAGGAAGCTGGCATTTCCTAGCAGTGACTGCCTGCGTGTGTTAGGTTTTGGTATCTTCKGGTGCCCACTCCTTCAGTGCCCTCACGGAGGACATTTGGACCCACTGACTGTGGTGGAAGTTCGGTCTGGGACCTGGGCTCAGAAGATGATAATTTGGGACATGAATGTAGTCCAAGGGGAAGCGAAGCTCCATCGTTCCCATAGCTCTGGGACCAGCGAGGGCTGTGGGTCCTGTGGGGCGGCATTTGCTACATGTCACAAAAGTTGGCAGGGGAAAAACGTTCCGCCTTTATCATGTATGAGGAGACAACCGTATGACTTGAAGTAGTTAAAACACAGGAGAGAAAAATTGGGCAGATCAAGTAAGGCACTATCAAACGAAACAAACCAAACCCATGCTTGGACTCTATGACATGTAGGGTTTGGCTTAGGTGGACGGAGTCTGTGGGTTCTCAGCCCCTTTGCTATGGGGCAGAGGTTCTCCCTGGGAAAAAGGGAGCCGCTAACGCAGCTGGCGCTAGGTGGCACTGTGGAAAGACAGGCCAAGGCGCACAGAGGGGAATCTTCCCTGCCAAGAAGTGGTCTGGTCCCTTCCCATGGGACGTCACCTGCCCCAGCAGCCTCGCCGAGGCACAGGCTGATCCTGCAGCCTCCGCTGGGCCTGCTCGTTTGCTACCAGCTATTAACCCTTAACATCTTTTATTAAAAATTTATACCTGTTTTTAAAGAAAACTGTCCTCCCCCAATTTGAGCAGTGGCAGCAGATCTAGGACTTGATTCTGCCTTGCGTGGCA